TGTGCTTTCGATTGTGAAAACAAAACTGTCATTTAAATACGGAACTATCTGGTTTTAGTCAAAACAAATACCAACTTGTTAATGAGTCATAAAAATCACAAACTTTTGTTGACTCGCCCAAATTAGGTATACAATTAATCAACTTTAACAGTTTTTAAAAAAACGTTAACTCTGTTTATTGTAACCGTTAAGTCTCAAAATAACGTCGTTTTGAGATTATGAAAAATGGCCATTTAAATACGAAACTCTCCGTTTTGCGCCAAAACAAGTACCAACTTTTTAATGAGTCATAAAATACACAAACTTATGTTGACTTGGCCAAATTAGGTATAATATTAGTCAACAATAGATCAGAGTCCGGATCTGGAGATATGAAGAGACGAGACCCTCCAAGGTTTTAGCATGAGTCCAACAACTTGTTAGGGCACGAGATTGCGATAACCTAAGTCTAGAGACCTGACGAGTTAGTATGAGAACTCTCATGGAAACCTATGGTCTGAGTCAACCGATTTGTCCCCTCTGAGACTACATACATGCTAAAACCTTGGAGGGTCTCGTCTCTCTATGTCTCCGGATCCGGGCTCTGATCTACTGTTGACTAATATTATACCTAATTTGGCCAAGTCAACATAAGTTTGTGTATTTTATGACTTATTAAAAAGTTAGTATTTGTTTTGACTCAAATCGGATAGTTCGGTATTTAAATGAGAGTTTTCCCGAAAACATATCTAGTTTATCATCAAATTTTTATGCGAATATGACAAATATTATGCTTCTATAAAACTAATCAGTTGACATTTTAAAGTTGCAGGATAAAACTTAATCTTTGTAAGGTAACGAAATACATGTTTTATCCAACACATTCGGAACCGAGATGTATTAAGATTTAAGTTGGATTGGATCGGTTAAACCGAATTAAAAATGGGACAATTACAAAAATGCTACTTTTTGTATGCATATTTGCAAGAATGCTATTTAGGGGTGTCTATTTGCAAAAATGCAACTAATTATAGATTTATAAAGCCTATATCTTAAAATTATAAACCCTAACAAATATTTTGACCCCTAAAACTTTCTAAACCTTCATAACTAAATCCTAATAGAACATAATTAACCCAAACATAAATGATATAAAGAAATAATAATTTTGAAAAAATGGTATTTTTGTAAAGATTTCAAAAGTGTAGCATTTTTGCAAAGTGGCATTTGAAAAGTGTTCTCATTAAAAATATGTCAAACAGCCGGAACCGACATGTAATAGCTACACCTACGCGTATGGAAGCACTAAGACGACAACGTTTTGGTGCGGTAGAAGAAGAAAAGACTTGGCTATATGTCGAACAAAAATTGGGGATAATACAACTCTTCTGAACTCATAGCCAAGCCAAAGGCAAGAAATTTGCAATCAGGAAGAGCGATTTGATCAATCTTGATAGAACAAGATGGTACGTGTTATTCCAATCATTGTTCTCTACGTTAATCGGTTGATTTCTCTTTTGTCCCTTTCGGGTGGTGGTAAATTGAGTATATTCGCGTTTGTTGATTGGAATCGATCTCCGAAGCCCTAAGATATACTGGGTTGATTTCGATTGTAATAGGTTTGGATTTATTTGGAGATTTAGGGTCTTCGTTGCTGGGATTTGGGTTTAGGTTTTTCTTCGGAATGATAACCTTTACGCGATTGTATCAATGTTTTGGTGCATAGCTCATCAATTATTTGAGGTTTTGTATTGATATTGATTTATGCCTTCTCCGGATTCACAAACTTGATTGGTTTGGATAATTTGATAATTTCCAGGTTTTAGCTTCTTGTCAAAAGTTTCTGTATGTTTCCAGTCAATTGCCATATTAGGGATCCTATATGGTTTGGTTTTTCATTGAATTTGATCCTTATTTGCAGTCTACTCTATCAGCTGCGAGGGCGGATAACTTTTACTATCCACCAGAATGGACTCCCGATCAAGGTTCCTTGAACAAGTTTCAAGGGCAGCATCCTCTGAGAGAGAGGGCAAGGAAATTAGGCGAGGGAATTTTGATCATAAGGTAATATAATCAAATTCTATATATGTTCATTCCTGCAAGTGCATAGCTCTCATTTTGTGATCCATGGATAGAGATGAGGCTGCGCCAAAATATAACATTATGATGATCAAAAGTAGGAAAGAGTGTATGTATTAGGCTTGAGTTACTCAATGTGTGGGTATTGCTTCATGTAAAAGTCTATCCCTGGTGTACATTATGTTGATGGATAAGAAGCTTTGTTTTTTTGTTGGATTGGCAGGATGGTACTCTCATTTTGGTTGAATTTTTTTATTTTGTTCAGGTTCGAGATGCCCTATAATATATGGTGTGGTGGCTGCAATTCTATGATCGCCAAGGGTGTGCGATTCAATGCAGAAAAGAAGCAAGTTGGGAACTATTATTCGACAAAGGTACAATTGAGAGTCTTTCCTTTCTCTATGATCACTTACATATGTCACCTTAAACTACTATTTCTGCTCCTGTCTTGACCAAACTTTCGATTGCACAAATACATGTGCACTGCATTGTATATTCTCTTTTTGGTTGCTATAGAACTATGTCTGAGGTTCATATCCTTATTATGGTCAGATATGGAGCTTTGCAATGAAATCACCATGCTGCAAACATGAGATAGTCATTCAGACAGATCCTCAGAATTGCGAGTATGTAATTACTAGTGGTGCCCAGAAGAAGGTTGAGGAGTATGATGTAGAAGATGCAGAAACCATGGAGCTCACTGCTGAGGAAGGTTGGTTTCTACCTTTTTTTTTGACAAGTTTGCTTTTAGAATCTCCTCTCAATAGGTGTTTTGCTTTTCATCCTTTTAATATGTTCCTACGGCTCATTCTTAATATGATTCTATAATCTTGCGCAGAGAAGGGTAAGCTTGCAGACCCATTTTATCGTTTAGAGCACCAGGAAGTTGATTTGCAGAAGAAGAAAGCAGCAGAACCGCTGTTGGTCCGTCTCCAGCGAGTCTCAGATGCAAGACATGCAGATGACTACTCCCTCAACAGAGCTCTACGTGGACAACTTAGGGTTGGTTCCAAGTCTGTGATTTATTTCTGCGAGCAATCTCTCGTATGTTGATTCCTCCATTCTAACATTTACTCGTTTGTCAGGGACACAGGAAACGTGTAGCTGAAGAAGAGGCTGCTTCAAGGAAGCTTGGGTTGGGGATAAGACTTCTTCCTAAGAGCGAAGAAGATATTGCAGCTGCATCAAACGTGAAATTCAAGACCAAGTTTGATAAAAATAGAAAGGATAAACGAGTGTTGATCCATGCATCTTCCATCTTTCCCGAGTCATCTTACTCAATGTCATCATCGAGCAAGAAAAGATTGGAGCTAGAAGCAAAGAGAAGGAAAATAAGCGCAGGGTCAGCGTCAAGTCTATTGAGAGGAGGATTCAAAGCTTCAGCATTGTCTAAAATCCCATCAGCAAGCAAGTTCAAGGCATCATCAGTTTCTGTAAGGAAGATGTAGTTTAGCAACTGTGCTTGATGAATCATTGAGAAGAAAAATCAATGTAAGAAAAAAGAAGAATGAAGTCAACTTATTAGAAAAAATCAATGTAAGAAAAATCAATGTAAGAAAAAAGAAGAAGAATGAAGTCTACGTGTGAAAAATTGAATTTGATCTTGGCTTTAGTCTTTTTTTTCTTTTCTAATTTTGCCAGTTTGAAAATATAAAACTTGCATAGGTAAACTATAGTGTAATGAGTACGATTAAAGAGAGTTGAAAAGAAAAATAATATGATTTGGGATCTCAAAACAATCTGTTGAAAATGTGAAAGCACATTTTATGGATGATTATAATTCAATAACTAGTCTCTAATGGAAGGTGTCCACCACCTTATGTCGAATATCATAAAAGAAAAGTTGGGATGATTAGTATATCACACCTTATCAATCTATGAATAATCTAATATTTAACCCATCTGATCAAGTATTTGTAGTAAATAGAAACAACATTATTAGACCCACCGAAGGTATCACAACCGTTGATCTATAGGAAGATGGAAGTCAACGCAAAGTCGTCGCAGTTCCAAAAACACAAACTGGCGCCTCTCTCCACTTCCCAGTTATTTCCGGGACTTAATTAAGAATTTATTTTCTCAATAAATCTTTTCTTCTCTCTCTCTCTCGAAAAAGAAAAGCAAACAGTCATAATCCGGACTCGGGTTTTTAGTATCGATTGGGGTGCCCAGAAAACTTGAAACCCAAATCTCAATTTCACTTTTGGTAGCGTCGAGAGACTTGTCTAGGGTTCTTGTCATCTTTTCTTCTTCAAGCTCTCATGGCTTCTGGGTAAGCACTCAATCCCGCTCTGGGCTTTGTCTAGGTCATTGAGTTTTTGGTTTGACCTAAGTGCGATTTCTCTCAATTGCAACCCATATAGCCAACGGAATAAAGTTTGTAGCTTTCTTTTTTCCTTTTTCTTCTTTTAATCAATGGAGCTCCCTGATTTTGATTTAAGCGTGAAGGAGTGTTTATCTGAAATCTGCACTTGGGTCATTCACTGATAGGGCTTTTAAAGTGATTTCTTAAGCTTCCACTTCTGTGATGCTTTATTATCCCAGAAATTTTGATCCATGACCATGAGTTTCGTAAATCATACTTGCTGCGCTTAGTATCCCTCAATAAGTCTATATATGTATCGAAGTTAGGTGTTTTCTCTTTTAAACAAGTGAAACAGATTCCATACTTCAGATCCTCTTTTGTTTCATGAGGACAATGGATACAAGTATTCTGCGGTTTTGAAGACAAAATGTTTGGTCTTTCAAGAAAATCGAGGGACATACTTTTGTTTTTTATGTGACCATGTTTTCTTTAACCTGTATTTAAAAATGGCACTGGAAACTGTTTCAAAACTTGAGGTTTTTCGTTAGAGCTATGCGTTTTTTTATATCATCTCTCTTACAGTTCTGCTTTGTCTTGACCAATGGATGCTTTTCTTGCTGTATGCAGGCGATCATGGCTGGTAGATAGTAACCGCATTGCAACAAAAATTAAAAGTGCATCGGCTGGTTCTGACCCTCGGCAAGTGGTGTGGAATAGCAATCCTACAAGGCATTGTCCCAACTGTCATCACGTCATTGACAACAACGATGTACAGTTGACCCTTTCATTTCTCTTAATGTTGGTTTTCTAATACTGTATTCCATGTAGTCGAAAACACAAGTTTTGTGCATTTCCAGGAAGTTGATGATTGGCCTGGATTGCCTCGAGGTGTGAAATTTGATCCATCTGATCCAGAGATCATATGGCATTTGTTAGCAAAATCTGGTTTATTGGGTCTAAGTTCCCACCCGTTCATTGATGAGTTCATCCCAACTGTCAATCAAGATGATGGAATTTGTTACACCCATCCTAAGAATTTACCAGGTCAGGGGATGCAGGTTTTCTTTCTTTTTTCACTGATAAGGGCCTTTGCATATTTTTATCTTACTCAAATTGAAATATTGTAGGTGTTAAGCACGATGGAACCGTGTCCCACTTCTTCCATAGAGCAATCAAAGCTTATAACACAGGAACTCGAAAGCGTAGAAAGATTCACGACGACGATTTTGGCGATGTGCGCTGGCATAAGACGGGAAGAACTAAACCAGTTGTGCTGGATGGTGTTCAAAGAGGTTGCAAGAAGATAATGGTTCTCTATGGTGGGAAAGCCGTGAAAACAAACTGGGTGATGCACCAGTATCACTTGGGAACAGACGAAGATGAGAAGGAGGGTGACTACGTTGTTTCTAAGATATTCTACCAGCAGCCACAGCAGCAAGTTATRGCCAAGCAAGGTGATAAAGGTGAACAGGAAGTCTCTGAAGATATCTTCTCTGCAATGACTACTCCGAAAGCGGATCCTGTCACTCCAAAACTGTTTACACCCGATCCTCCACATGCTGTGCGCCTGTGCTCTGCTTCTCACTTTGCCGATGACTATGCTGCTCCGCATGACTATGTAACTGCCCATGAGGTTTCTCTTGCTGAGGTAAAATTCTTTTTGTTCTGCTTTCTGTGGATAAGTCCTTGTACTAGTCTGGTGCAGGAGCGTTGTGATTACCCTAGGTGGATTGTAGCTGTGTTGACAGTCAGGTTGAGTCACTTAACTACGTAGCAAACAGGTTGAAAAAAGAGTTTAGGAAGAATGAGTTGGAGGCATACAGGGTTTTGGATTGAGAATTGGGTCGAGCGTGGAGATTCACTCCAAGTATAAGCTCTTGCTGAAGTGAATGTAGAAGGGGTTTACCATGTTTGATCTTGTCGCATTCTTCTTTAAATTTACAACTAATTGATATTGCAGTACCTGACACTTTTTCGTTTATTTCCTGGTTCCTAATTAACTGAATACCTAAGACATCCGAGGCAATGTACATAGAAGATGAGGTCCAAGGGATTCAACGTAATCATGAAAGACCAAGTTCCGAGGATGAGCCTGAGCCTGAGCCCGGGATTGAAAACCGAGTAAGTGAAATGACAGATGGTAATGGAGACAAAGAGAAGGATAAGGATGATGAAAACCAAGGTGAGGAAGATCCGAATTGGTTGGACAGTGGATCTCAGTTTATCTTGGACTCGCAACAGCTGGTGGAAGCCCTGTCTCTGTGTGATGATCTCTTGCAAGAGGGATCACAGGACAGAGACGAAAACACAAACAATGGTGGAGGTTTAAGGAACAAGCAACCAAGTTTTGCTGATTACGCACACCTAGGAACAGAAGACTTCAAACGGGATCTTGAGGATTGTCAGAAAATCGTTCTTGATCCCTCCAACATAGACCTCGATACTCCACCTGAGTTTCGTCTGAGCCAGCTGGTAAATTTTAATCCCTTCCCCTCTCTAACACTTTTTGATGCAGTTAAGCAGAAAAGCCAAATGGGTTTTGTTATTTTATGTACAGGAATTTGGATCACAGGAGAGCTTTCTGGCTTGGGGCACTGGAAAGACTGACTGACTAAACACGACTCACACGAGCTCGAGACTATGGAACTCGTTGATATTTTTTTGGTTGGCATGCCCAATGGTGCCACGCTGCTGTATAATATTTTCCCTCTGCGCCTCAAGTGGTTGATTCGAACTGTTTCGGG